ACATTCTGCTGATCATCGGCCTATTGATCATTGCCGGCTTCTTCGTGTGGGAGATCCGCTTCTCGAGTAATCCGCTCATCCCTTTCCACGCCCTGAATGTGGACGTCTCGTTTATTCTTGGTTGCATCGCCTGCGGCTGGGCCAGTTTCGGCATCTGGATCTACTACTTTTGGCGGTTCTTAGAGGACATCCGCGGAGTGCATCCCATTCTTGCGTCCGTGCAGTTCCTCCCGCCCACGGTTATGGGGATCATCGCTGCGTTCTCGACAGGCCACCTGCTGAGTCGCCTGCACCCCGGGTGGATTATGGTCATGGCCATGGTGGCGTTCACTCTGGGCAATGTGTTCTCGGCTATTATGCCCGTGCATCAGACGTACTGGGCGCTCTCGTTCGTTACGCTCATCGTCATTCCCTTCGGGATGGACATGTCCTTCCCTGCTGCGACGGTTGTGCTGAGCGACGCTGTGGGCAGAGAGCACCAAGGCGTTGCGGCGTCACTGGTGTGCACGATCGTGAATTACAGTATCTCGTTAGGTCTGGGATTCGCAGGAACCGTCGAGGTGCATGTGAACCACGGCGGGAAGACGTTCCATGACACGTTGGTTGGGTACCGCGGCGCATTTTATATGGGGATCGGTTTAGGCGGGTTGGGCCTGCTGACGAGTATAGTATATGTACTTCACACTCTGAAGAAGGGCCGGCGCGGGGGAAAGGGGGTGGAAGATGCTTAATCTGTATTTCGTTCCCTGCATTTGTCTTTTTATTCCCTTCTCCCAATCTTTCGGATCATTGCAGCTTAAAAGTATACATACATACTAGGTATAGGGTATAGACTTAATAGACTCATTTCAATCAATCAATCCCACTGTCAGGCAGTGAAGTGTGAATAAACAATCCCCTATCACCACAAAAACCCCTTCAATGATGTCTGAGTAGCGACTGTTTCTGAGAAGATACGGTAAGCAAGGCTCGGCCTCCATGATCTTCGTTCCCCTGAATCTGACGTGCCACATGAGAGCGAGACTGACGCTAGGAATGGCAGAATCCGCGATAGAGCTGTTGGACTGCGAAGTAGTGCGTACTTAGGCTAGATCAGATCAGCACTTTAAATGCCTCTATTGCATATGAGTTCGATGGAGGCTATATTCAAAAAGCGAGAGAAACCAACCTGTTATCGATCATTTGTGTAGGAAAATGTAAGAAAGCGAGGGTATAGACCTTCATAGAGCCTATTGGGGGCCTCTCGTTTGTACTTGTCGGTCTCCCAATCGCTTATTTGATTATCTCGTGGCGGCCGATCACAATAGAAGGAGTCTGGATGATGGCATCAAAAGCATCCTGAAGAGCGGATCATCTGACTGATTATTTTCATAGCGTGTGATTCTGCTGATGATGCGCGGGACCTCGTTCTTGCTCATACAACAGGCAATAATATAGAAGCCATCATAGCGCTCAGATCTCGTCCTTGCTGGTGCAACGGGCAATGCTTTAAAGATCCTGATAGCGCTCAGACTTCACTCTCGCTTGTGCAACAGATATGCACTTTAACAATTATCATGACGCTTGATCCCACCGACACGCGGGACCTCTTTGATGTTGCTCGTGGACTGGCTGTTCGCTGGAATAATTGCCATGGCGCTCGAACCTGCCGACATGCGGGACCTCGTTCTTGCTCGTGATTCGGCTGAATCGCTCAAACGATTATCATCGCGCTTACGCCCGCCGAAAGGCGGGACATTGCCCCTGCTTCTAGATTAGACACTGGTTAACCTGTCGATCCAATTTAGCAAGGTTGCCTTTCTTCCGTTTGTGTCCCAAGACCTCGGGGCGGTAGGTAAACACCCCAGACCCCTCAGCCCAAAGGCATAATGGGAGGACCGGACTTCGTGCCTCACAAGACTGTCCATACCGCCCGAGTAGACACTCCTTGGACCTGACTGCTGGTTCCCGCGACACCGCCATAAACGAGTTATCATAGTGAGAGCAATTCATCATTTCATCCACCTGTTTCCAGATCTTGGAGGGTGGTTGGTAAACCATGCACACCCTGGACAGCTAGAAGCCCCTCAGCCTTAAGGCATCGGGAGGACCGGAGTCCATGCCTCACAAAACTGTCCACCGCGTACGCGGACCCTCCGTGGCCATGGTCAAATAGTCCCGTGACATCACCCATAAACGAGCGATCAAACCCAGCCTTTCTTTCTCTTGTATCCAGAGATTTTTGGGGCGGCTGGTGAGTCTTGCACACCCCCGACAGCGAGAAGCCCCTCATCCCGAAGGCCCACGGGAGCAGTCCCTCACTGGGCCTGGTTACCTCCCGTGGCCGCGGTCTTCCCGGAGAAACCAGTAAGCATGGTGGAATAAGGCTAAGTGTATCCAATGTCAGTACTCGCACAATGACAACGCAATAGGTAGACTTGGAGTAGCGGTATTGGGTGCCGTGCTCGTGCCTATTTGGTAGATAGGGGACCCCTAGAACTGTTACACAAGGCAGTCTGTCAGCCGTTGAGTTCAATTTGAGGCTCCGATTTGACAAGAACCAGAGATCTTAATAGTGTGATTGGACATACGTGACTTTGCTTCGATCGTAACGCGACCGATTAGGAAAGTCCAAGTCGCGCCCCGTTGACGAAGGAACTTGGGACTCGGAACGACGGATCTCAAGGACGTTCTCGAGCCTGTTTTGAGAGAAAAACGGCACCTAAAGTTGCGGGCCTGACAAGATTAGTTGGCAGCAACCTCTAGAAGACAGTGCAAAGAGTGTAAGATCCTGGGACGATGGGAAGGCTCATAAACATACAGAAACCGCTTTCCTGACCAGATGTCTGTGTTGATGAAAGTATTGATTGTGGAAAAGTTGAATGATGTATTTGACAGGAAAGGACAGGGCATGAAGAGAGGTTGAATCGGGAAAGATTGTGCGGAAGTCCAAGGTGGAAGAAAGAGAAAATGGAAGGAAAAGAACGTACTTGAGGACTTACTTTACATGAACTATTCAGGTTATCCACGAGACATGGTAACTTTTCAATACAAGTGAATTAGGCAGGTCTGATATGACGTGTTGAGCAGCCTTTTACCTTGTCAATCGATTTGGCAACTGAAACGGGTTGGGCAAAGGACCTTTGCATGGCTTACTGGTGGTTGTGACACTCTCTCCTAGGATACTCGGAAATATCTAATCATAAGATTAGCAGCAGGAAGAGATTAAGTATGTGCCTTTAAATTGACTGGGTCTGGGCGTGGAGGGGACTCGACGGAATGCTCACATGGTTCGAATCGCATACAGGTGTAGAGACAGGCTGGTTAGAATTCAGAATCGAGGACGTGGGATCCTGTGTATCAAGCTTAAAGCACGCGTTAGACAAGATCCCTGGTCAGTGATGCTCGAGAGAATGATTTGATGCTCGGATTGAGAAGATGCCGATGGTCACTTAGCTGCAAGGCTGTCTTCGTCGCGCTGTAGGACCCGATAAATGGAGGCCATAGGTGCAGCTCGGAGAATTCGAAGTTGACGTAGAACTAGATGTACTTGGGCATATAGTGGATGGGAAAAAGAGATGGAGCAGTGTAAACACATGATGGGGGAAGGTATAAGGGGAGAGATGAGGGGGGAGAGATGCGGGCAGTGAGAAGTGGGAGTCTGAGACTCCGCAAGTAGTAAGTAGTGAGATGTTGCGGACTCAGTATCGAAGAACGATTCGAGGCGGTGAGCAATATGCCACACTCAGGACCTCGTCACAATGGACTTGATGATATCAGGGATGAATAGCAATGGAAGCGATCAGGGATGGTTGGGAGCAGTGATGTAAAGTATCACACAGTAAATCATTCAAAGACAGATCAGGTGCTCATGATCATGGAATCTACTCAGAAGAGCAACCAGCAGCAGATGCGCTGCCAGTACAATCGAAACTGACTACCTGGAGAATGACGATCGTTAGACATAGCATGTACGGATACCTTCCACCACAAAGCCCATATGACTGTCGAGATAATCCGGTCATGCACCCCCACTACGATGAATAGAGCAGTGGAAGTCCAGAGCATCAACCGCGCTTGACGCCAGACGATGCGACCGCCGCGGGGAATTGGGCTCCGCAACCTAGTCAGGAGTCGAGTTCAGGAACCGCCCAATCGGACTGACAAGGCGCAAAAGGATTACGGGGCAGCCTTTTCAGTTCCGTGGGATATCCACTGTTGTGGTGTTGTTCAGACCAGAGCCGAGGCAGTGTTGGTCCGAGCGAATTTGGGATTCAAGCGCGCCATGACTATCAATGAGGCGGGGGCAGTGCTCTTATCTGCGTTTCTCGGAGAGGGGCAAGAAAAATCAGGGACACAGCCCCTCTCATGCAGTGCATATCGTGGAATTACGCCACGCGATCGCTTGCCTGGTTGGTCGCATGAATTTGATGACTACATCTAGTATACCTAAATAAGGTATTGGAGTAAGCCTCACAAGACGAGCCACATCGACAGGAACAAAATACCGTGGACATCATACTATGTAACTTAGATAGGTAAGTAGCAAGTTGGCCGAGGCGAGGATCCCCGGGGAAATGATCGGCAGCCACCTTGACGAATATGATAGGCCCAGCGCAGCCAAGCCAGATCACCACATCCGCCTAATGCGGCCCGGCGGTTTTGGTGCAGTGCCGCATCTCCAGACATCCCCTCCACCTCATCCTCCTAACAGGCCGCCTGCTGGTCCTTGCCCTGCTGTTTCAACTTGCCCGTGTTTCAGAGTATAGGAAAGACATTGGCTGTAGTCTTCGAGGCTTGAATCAGCTTCATGGACTCGTTGGTTCCTCGAAAGTCGTTCTCCTGGAGGTGTGGCCATTGCACCGTCCCCCTTCTTCATGTTGGGCTGAAGTGGCGGTGAATCTATGGCTTCACTTTGACAACCGACGGGGAAAAGAACCAACCACTCACTTCACTACCTGTCGCCCTGTCATAGGTCTCCAACTCAGTGCTATCGACGATGGCCTGCCTGGCTTCACCTCGGCGATTTTCGCTGCCCAGCGATCGTCCGACACAGTATAATAACCATGGTCCACGGCCAACAATCCCCAGACTTAATTCTCCTACACACACTTGACTGACTGTTGAAAGATCCGAACTTGTGATTCTTTAACACCCTCCATATGCTTCCAATCGTCGTGAAGCTGCTATCACCACTACTCAAACCTTTGCGCAGCATGGACTGCTCGATGACTCGCCCATCGGCGACATCTCGATTTCCTTTCTTCCCCTTCTCGCTATGGTCGAAGAAGCCACAGCAATCAGTATCAACACAAACACAGACACAGGCTCAGACCCAGACACAAACCCCACAGTCAGCGAAGATGCGACCGCAGCTTCAGATTCAGACCTCAACACCGACACAAACCCAGCTTCCACCCTCCCCGCCCGATACACCCGTCATGGTCGAACACCCTCAGCAAACCGCCGAGGAGCTGGCGGAGCGCGACCACCAGGATCGCGAAACTGCGCGACAGGAGGCTCTTGACGAGCTAGACAGTCTTGTCGGCCACGAGAACGTCAAGCGCCAGTTGCGCGGTGTGCAGACTTGGGTGCAAATCTGTCGGCGACACGGTCGTGACCCCAAAAACGAATGGTACAACATGGCCTGTGTGGGTAATCCAGGCACGGGTGAGTTGTCACTTATCATCTGTTTGAGTCGTTTGAGTTGTCGCTGATCCTTCTAGGCAAAACTACCGTCGCGCGCATCTACGCAAAGATGCTCTATGCTCTTGGGATCTGCGACTCACAAGCTGTGTGTGAGACGACTGGACTCGACCTCGCCAGCCAGGGACCGGACGAAGTCAAGCAGATGATTGACCGTATCGCTGGCGTGGATTCGTTGGCCCACACAGCGGGTGTGCTCATCGTCGACCAACCACACATGCTGGGAGAGTCTATCTCACCCCAAGCGACAGAGCAGATTCTTGCAAGTTTCTTGCAGGCTCTCGAGCGCAAGAAAGGCCGCATAGTGGTGATCTTCTCTGGCGAGGAGTCAGCGCTAACCACCTTCCTGCGCGATCACCCGCGTCTGCAGCAACGGATCTGCAGCACATTGCGGTTCTATGACTTTGATCGTAGCGACCTCGCCCAGCTTCTCGCTCGTCGCATTGCAATCGAGTACCAGGGTCGCATGCAGGTTGAAGGTGGTCTCGAGGGCCCCTATGTTCAGGCAGCAGCTCGAAGACTGGCGCGCGGGCGCGCCGTCTCGGGCTTCACGAACGCCCATGCCGTGCGTGAGCTGGTGAAGACGGTCGCGCAGCGCCAGGCTCACTGTCTAGCGGATCAGCAAGACAGCGGTATGGATGAAGTAGACTACTTCTTCTTCTCTAAGGACGATCTGCTGGGCCCACGACCAGAGCAAACACGCGCCCACAGCGAGGCATGGGCGGCTATGCAGAAGCTTGTCGGTCAGGACCCCCTGCAGATGTCCATCAATGAAGTGTTTGATGTGACCGAAGAGAACTACCACCGGGAGGTTCGCAATCAGCGTCGTCTGCCTCTCAGGGTGAATCGCATCTTTGCGGGGCCACCAGGCACCGGAAAGAGCACGGCAGTTCGGTTATATGCGCAGATACTCCTCGAGTTGGGACTGTTGACAAATGGAGAGGGTAAGTCAAGGTTTTTGATGCAAATGATATGTACTAACATGTCACAGTTCGGGTCAAACCCTGGTCAGCTCTCTCGCAACTCGATGCAGACAGTATCCGCACTCTTGTCGAGAGCAACAACGGGAATGTCCTTGTCATCGACATCGATGCCGACCGCCAAGATTTGTCTCGGGGTCAGACTGCGCTGGACGCGACTGCCCTGGAGAACCTGTGGATTCCACGGGACAACCACTGCACTGTTGTGGTCGGTGCACACAATGCCGTCAGCCACATTCTGCATCAGACCGGATCGCACTCACGTCTGAGTCGCGCTCTTGACACTCAGCTTGTGCGCTTCGCACCCCTTACACGCGACCATCTAGAAGAGCTCTTTCATAGCAAGCTCCGCGAGCAGGACTTGGACGTCACTCCCGACGCCTTTCAAGCCGCTTTGGACATGCTCGACACGGCCCGTATGCGCCAGGACTTTGACCACGCCCGTGCCGTCGAACATCTTCTGGCAGCGGCGCAGTATCACTTTGAGCGACGAACCCGGGTCGGCGCAAAGGGCGAGACAATTCCTCGTATACTTGAAGGAAGAGACTTCAACCCCGAGCTGGTCGGTGGTACACCCGCCTTGGGCTTTCGCGAGGAGCTACGCCATTCCATCGTCCCTGACGATATTATTTCTATACTGAAGCGGTATCACCACGAGATGAAGATCGCCTGGATGCAAGGGCTAAACCCGGGCAAGCGGATGCCTTGCGGATTTGTGTTCAAGGGAGCATCTGGTGAGTTTCCTACCAAATATTGATCAGATGTGAATGCTAACAATGCTTACAGGCACAGGGAAAAAGACTGTCGCCCGCGAGCTTGGCACGCTGTACTACAAAATGGGGGTTTTGTCTCATGGCGAGCTGGTGCCCTGTTCGATTGCCGATCTGCTCGCTCCGCACATGTATCCCACTGCGATTCGCGCAAGGGCCCAACTTGACCGTAGTCGCGGTCGGGTTTTGTTTATCGAGGATGCGCATCGCTTGGGCGAGGTGGAGGGGCCCACGAAGCATGCGGTGGATGAGTTCGTCTATCAACTCCCTCGGTATCTGGATCAGACCGTGGTGGTTCTGGCTGGACCCGCCCAAGAGATGGACCAGATGCTCGCCAATCGACCTCGCCTGGCAGCACTGTTCCAAGAGGAAATTATTTTCCGCAACCCGACCCCCAGAGAGTGTCTGAGACTGCTGGATCGACGGTTGACGGAGCAGAAGGTCCCCGGACCTCGACTCTACTTGACCGACCCTCGCACCCCGAGCCACCGTGAGTTCACCCGTGCCATCCAGATTCTTTCGATGTTCCCGTGTTGGAGCAATGCGCGGGATATTGAGGTTCTGGCTCGCTGGATGGTGGCAGCGTGTGTCAAGGACTTGTCGTTGGAGGGGGTTGGTGACAAAGAGTTAGACAAGATTCAGTTGGGTGAGGAGCAGGCAATGGGGGCTATGGTCAAGTTGTTCAGCTTGAAGCGAGATCGACTTCGATTCAACCAGGACCCCAAAGCCCGAGCTCTGCCTCGAATCTTGTCCCAGCCCCGGTTGACCGATCGGACGGGAGTGAAATTTCCCGTCTAGAGAGTGAGCATGCGGAACTGAAGAGGGGATGATTGTGGCGGCCTCAGGCTGTCAGGCATGCAGGCACGATGTATGTACTGTACGGGCGCCGCGACTCAAGGAGCTTTCGGATTGGGAAACCACCACGATTCCGGTGCCCGGCGGGACTCGGGATGGATTTGTATAGTATAGTCACGGTCGCTACCGGACGAAAGTCGCTCCTTACCTATCTTTCCTTTGTTTCATTTCCTATATCCTGTTCTGTTTTGGCATTTCTTTTGTATGATGGTCTCCTTGATGGATGACCTGGCTTGATACACGCTTTTGAATACTGGAATATAATATAGGCATTTGTGCATCATCTTCGTTTTTGACTTGAAATCAACATGGTTCAGACTTTGGAAAACTCTTCTTCACTCATGGTGCTTCTAACTGTTCAGACCATAAGCATTCAAGTCTTAATGTTCACTATCTACTTCAAATATATATTCTGAACCTTGTGAGTGTGACCTATACTCAAAGCCTTGCTTCACGGACCTCCGTATCTTTCTCGCCAAAACTCCAATTCCGATCCACCTACTTCCGTCAGTTTTACATCTTGGTGGTCCAATGACTACTCACATCTGCAATATGATCATAGCCCAGCAGCTTCGGGGCCAAGCCGGGGTCTCTCCATGCCAAAGCCTCACCCTCCGGAGTGGGCACCATCCGCATCTTGCGGTCGCGTTCCTCCTGCTCCGGCCCATCGTCCAAGTGATATAGATACTGTTGTACGTTTCCCCTTTCCACCACCATCTTCGTTCTCTGTTTTCGACATCTCTCAAACACAGCCAACGCATGGCGTTTCGCTTCTAGGAATGCGGGTGAGGTCTTATCGATCGAAGGATCAGACGGTAGGCGCGAGAGACACTCTCCAAGGACAGCACCGTCTTCGAATGCCATTCCGGCTCTGGGCTCGTTAGCGTTGTCTTCGCAGCATGAGAGGCGACGTACCCTGACGCAAGGTAAGGCAGTGTTGCATGCACTGCATCCCCAAGCATAATCCACGAACCTGAAGGATGGGCCCAGTCGCAGTCGCCAAATCGAATACACAGACGCCACTTCTGGACTGATTGGCACAGTTTGAGGAGTTTTTGGATCCTGTTTCTTAGTGCTGATTCGCATTGTTGGCGGACCGAAACAGCTCACCTCGGATCCCACCCTTCGAACAAACCACACATTTCCTCCACGTTTCCTTCGACCGTAGTGGCCAGCGATTCCTCGGGGATATCATCCGGTACGAGGAGGACCATGTTGAACAGTTCGCCTTGGCGGAGGACGTAGTTGACTGTGCTCGTTAGATTGTCTTGGCCAGGCCTTCGCTTTACTAGGAACACATACCTGCATGTTTCCCCGGTCCTAACCAATAGTTCACCTGGGGATTGACAACAAAGTCCCTCAGCTCTTCATCCTGCAGCATCTTCTCCGTATCCAGTAGCAAGCGATACGCAAGATCCCCTGTCTTAACGGGCGGGTCATGGCGCTGCAGCATTCTCTCACTCAGGGTCCCAAATACCCCATCGGCGCTGATTACCAAATCCCCGATCCATTCTCGTCCGTCCGCTGCAATAACAGTGGCAGTATTGCCCCAGCCATCTGGCGTACTGCTAGAAACAACCTCCGGCACAACATCCACGACCCTCGCTCTGCAAGTGACTTTCACCCCAAGTTCCTCCGCTCTCTCCAACAAACATCGCTGGAGATCTGCGCGGTGGAAATCACGATACCACGTTCCGGGATACTGCGATTCGGAGGCGTGGAAGTCTAGGCTGCTGATGATCTCGCCTTTCCAGTGGAGGAAGTTGCAGACGCGGGGAGAGGTCATGTGCGGGGTGAGACGGGGAAGAAGTCCCCAGTGTGTGAGCACTCGGGAGCTGTTGGGCAGAACTTGAATGCCAGCACCAACTTCTCGGATCGATGAGGTCGCTTCAAGGATGTGTACCTTGTGTCCAGCAAGAGCGCAGGCAATGGCGGTGCCTAGTCCGGCAAGACCGGCACCGATGACGATTATCTAGAACCGCGGTCGCATCAGCCGTCATGTTCGGGAATGGGGTGGGATCGCGGGGAGGACTGTGTTACCTCAAGAGAACACGTCTCCGGTCGAGTTTGTGGTTCTTTGACATGAATGGGAGGAGCCATGATGATTGTGGTCGTTTGTGTAAGTTGAGAAGATTGCTTGTGCACTTTGGGCTAGAAGTGCGACAGTTATACCAGGGCCAAATGTGGTGAGGGTGGAGGTGACAAGAATGGGGGTGAAGTTGAATTGACATCGGGTTATCTTATCGAGCCTATTTATAACCACTCTCATCACAATCTACCTACAGGTCAGCCAGAGCTCGACCGATCGGATCATACAATCCCTACGCCATCATCATCATTATCATCATGTCTCGAGTAAGTTGACCCTTTGACTTCAGAACCCAAGCTAAGTTGTCAGTTTTCCCTTCAAGGTCGAACTGCATTAGTCACTGGCGGTGCACGCGGGTGTGGTCTGGCATTCGCACGCGGTCTGGCCGAAGCCGGTGCCAATGTGGCTATCTTTGACGTGATTCCCCCCGAAGCAGAGTTCGAAGCTATCGCGACCGAGTGCGGCGTGCGTACTGCATACTACAAGTAAACGCTCTATTCTGTACTGCAACAGGTGTCCATCGCTGACTACCTAGGGTGGATGTATCCTCCGAAGAGTCCCTCGATGCCGGCTTTAAAGCCTTTCAAACAGACTTCGATAACGCTCTCGATATCTGTGTTCCTTGCGCGGGGATCAATCGTCACCAACCCTTCCTAGAGTTCACCTACGCGGACCACGCCGCTCTTCTCGGAGTCAACGTGTTGGGCGTGCACATGACGGCCCAACGCGCGGCAAGGCAGATGATCGCCAATGGAACACAAAAGGGCAGTATTGTCTTGGTGGCCAGCATGGCCAGCCACATCGCTGTGCGGTCACAACTGTGCAGCGCGTATTGTGGTTCCAAGGGGGCCGTGAGGGCGATGTGTCCGGCCATTGCCAAGGAATTGGCCCAATATGTGCGCGTCTCCTGCAGGACTGCCAGGATGAGCGAGCGCTGACGAAGACAGAACATCCGAGTCAATTCGATTTCACCGGGATATGTTCGCACGGAAATGACGGCTGCTGTAGGTGGGATCTCCGATAAGATAGCGACGAAGCTAACCGTGGCAGTTCCCCCACCTGGTCGAAGAGTGGAAACGCGATGCGATGAACGGTCGACTGGCCGAGCCGGAGGATATCATGGGCGCATGTGTGTTCCTGGCTAGTGATGCTAGCTCGTATATGACTGGGGGTGATATTGTGGTCGATGGTGGTGTGACAAAATGGTAGTGTTCGAAGCATGCGGTCAACTGTGATAGCTACTGTACTCGATAGCAAGCTACGAGCTAAGATAGTGGATCGGACTGTGCTTATCGCGGTCGCAAGCAATAACAAAGGTGGGGGTGGGGGTCGGTCTTCCTCCCGAATCTCCAACATTACTCCGCATCCAACTCGAATCAAGTTCGATTAAATATACTCGGTGTGCAGCTTCTGAGTATTTTCTATCCCAATAGCATTCGTGAAAAGCCAAAAGATGACTCCTCCAGAATCAACCACGGTGGTGATAGTCGGGGCTGGTCCCTCTGGCTTGATGCTGGCGTATTTCCCCCTCTTTCTTTTCTCCCCCGCTTTCCCCTCATACACTCTTCCCATCTTCGCTCCAGCTACATCCTAACAACAAACAGGTGTAATCTCCTTCGCTACGGCACTCCTGTTCTCCTTCTCGATGACCGTCCCGATCAGACCTCGACTGGCAAAGCGGACGGGTTGCAGCCGAAAACTATCGAAACGCTGAAACAGCTTCGTCTTGCCGATCCGTTACTGCGACATGGCGCCAAGGTCTACGACATCTCATTCTGGGTATTTCTCCCATTGCGTTCACCCTCTTTTCCCCTGTCCTAGTCTCATGGATCATATCCATACACACTCACTAACCACTCCCTCACGCAGGACTCCACACCCACGCAACCCCTCCGTCGCACCGGCCGCAAGATCCACTACCCCGACCACCTAGTCGGAGCCCCCGATCCATACATTCTGCTAGCCCACCAGGGCATGCTGGAGGACGTGTTTATCAAGGACATCGGAAGCCGAGGAGGATCAGTCTCGCGGAACAGCGAATTCGTGGACGTGCAGAAAGACGAGGCGGGCGACCTCAAAGTCACGTACAAGGACCTGACCACGGGGGATGAGCGCGTCGTCTACGCAAAATACCTGGTTGGATGTGATGGCGCCCGGTCGAAGGTGCGGGACTTCATTCCCGATGCGCAGTTGGAGGGCGAGAAGACGAATGCTTCGTGGGGAGTGTTGGATGGTATGTTTCGAGCTCTACCTGGCGTTCGATTGTCCCAAGCTTGGTGCTTTAGTCGTTCGGTTGGTTTTTGAAAGTATCTGGGTGCTTTTAAGCTGACCCCGCTGCTATGATTGACAGGTGAGATCGAGACTACCTTCCCTGATCTCTGGAGCAAAGTCGCCGTCCGGTCCCGCGCAGCCGGTTCGATCTTGTGGATTCCTCGCGAACGCAACATGACTCGACTTTACGTGGAGTTGAGTGCCACCGATGGTGAGCGGGTGCCCAAGTCCATGGCTACACCGGAGTATGTCATGGCTCGAGCGCGGGAAGCCATGAAGCCTTTTCCGCTAGAATGGAAGAGTATCGGTATGTTGTTGCATTCCTGTTCTAGCTAGGCGGTAACGAAGACTGACCGCGGTGTAGAATGGTTTGGCAATTACATAGTCAATCAGCGTGTCGCGCGTAATTTCTCCGATCCAGACAATCGCATCTTCATTGCCGGTGATGTATGTCTCCCATTCCTTAATGCAGCCAACATGTACTAAGACAACTCTAGGCTGGTCATGTCCACTCCGCTCTTGCCGCACAAGGCGCCAACACCAGCATGCACGACTCTCTCAACCTCGCCTGGAAGATCAATCTCCATTCCCGCGGTCTCGCTACGAACAACCTCCTATCCAGCTACTCCACCGAACGTCGAAAGATAGCCAACGACCTGATTGCTTTCGATGCCAGCCATGTCGCTGCTTTTGAACAGGGCGAGGCTGCTCTCGCCCGCAACTTCGATGAGAATATTCGGTTTATCGCTGGTTTCGGGGCAGAATACCTTCCAGGAGACTTGCTCACGAGAAGATGGGAGGGCACACAACTCCAAAACGGACACACTAGCTCCGGTTTAGGAAGGGTGAAACCCGGTTCTCTCCTCCCACCTTCTCTCGTGACGAGGTATATCGATGCAAACCCCGTGCCAGTGCAGTTGGATATTCCTCTCCTTGGTCAATTCCGGGTGTACCTGGTCGTCCCAGATATCCGGAGTGAGAACGAGTTTCTGCAGAATTTCTGTGAGGAGGTGCTGGGCGAGGGAAGTGCATTGGCCAAAGCAACCCAGAAGGCAGCCCAGAGCTATGCAAGCAGCGAACGGAAGCAGGCGACGGATGATGTGTACTTGGGCCACGCGCGGTATACGACGGTTTCGCAGGTCGCAACCATCGCCTTGCTCACCACGGCCTCACGCGAAAGCTTCGAGCTCGAAGATCTACCTGACATGCTTCGGCGAAGCCGCTGGACAGTGTACCTTGACGAAGCGGGCGAGGAGAAGGGCGGATGTACGAGGAGGTGGTTCGGGGAGGCGGATGCGGCGCAGACGGCGGTGGCTATTGTGAGACCGGATGGGTATGTTGGAGCTGCGGCCTGTTGGAGTGAGCCGGATGGAAAAAAAGCTGCTCTATGGGTCAATGGATACTTTCAAGGGTTTATGATTTAAACTCTACACTAGATAAATACTATGCAGGATGCATTTGAGTACCGACAGTCAAACCTAGAAGATCGACTTGATTAAAATATTAAGTACGTTGATCAATGCTTCTTGATGTGCCGAAGTACCTCAAGCAGCTCCTCGTGTTGACGCTGGAACTGTTGCTGCAACTGTTGCTGCAACTGCTGCTGCTGCTGGAGCTGCTGCTGGAGCTCCTGGATTTGCTGCCGCTGCTGCTGAAGGATCTGCTGCTGAAGCTCCTGGGTCTGCTGCTGGACCTGCTGCTGCTGTTGCTGCTGCTGCTGCTGCTGTTGCTGTGGCTGCTGTGGCTGTGGATGCCCCCGCAGCCGCAGCAGTCGCTGCCGTCCCTGGAAGACAAGAAGTTAATATAAGAATCCAGCTTGAATCACAGTATGGACCTACCAGTTCAAGAATACCTAAATTCCTGAGTTTGGCCGGGCACTCCTCTTCTACATGATCGCGTGAATAGCAATAAAAACATTTCTTCTTCTACAGTATAGCAATATGCATGTTACCAAGGCACGTACAAAAGGGATGACTCAGGGGCCGCCTGACTGACCTACACCTTGGAAATGCTGCTGCTACTGCCCTTGTTATTGTTGTTGTTGTTGCTGTTGCCGCCGCTGCCGCCGCCGTCGCGGCGAGGGGGGAGGAGAGGAGCGCGGGGAGACATGATGGGGTTGATGATGGTGGTGATGCCGATGGGATGGAGAAGGAGGATGATAACGAAGATGAGAGGAGTGATGCTGATGCTGAGGAGGAGGAGGAGGAGGAGGAGGAGAAGAGTGGGAAATGCAAGGTGCGAAAGCCCCGGGGTAGCCAGCCTTCATCTCTCTTGTCACTGACAAGCGAGCTCCACCCACCTACTAGCAATTCACTCTACGAATTACCCCTCGATCGTCAGCTTCGACTCGAAAGGGAACAGTATGTTAACTTTGCCTCTGCTTCCAAGATAGGCTGCTACCTAACAAGAAGGTTTTTGATCTCCTCTCGTGGCGTTGCACCGAGAAGACAGTAGCTCAATTTCAGTGAAGGCTCTCGCCAGAAGGCTCCGCAATATCTCGTCAGTGTTGTCTCGCCAGCCTCTTGAGCCAAAGCCTCTCTGAAGGGCTGTGTAGCCCAGCACACTGTCATCAGCTTCAGACTAGGCGTATTTTCTCCAAGTACGACACTGCCCTGATCAAAGCCATGCTAATGAATGTTTTCTGCTAGGTGAACCTCAGCTTTTCCCACGTCTAGACGAACCAAGACAAGAGACCGAATCCAAGAACGAGTCCCAGTGAGTCGAGGGATTATCGGACAGACGCGAGTGGAGGAACAACAAAGGATTCGATTTCAGAGGCAGCTCGTTTCTTTGCGTGCCTGAAGGTCCCAAGCGAACTTGGTATTGTAGGTGACAGGCGAACAGACGCACCTCCTCCGGACACACTTGTGCTTACTCCAAGTAATCATTCATTACGCGCGAGGCATGGATCAGACTGTCTTCAAGCGGCATCATCATGTCTGTTAATCGAGGCTTGTCACCATGACTGCGTCACCATGACTGCGTGATCACAGTCGTTACTGAACCAAATTGCCATGGGATCTCCAAATCTCCCCAATTGGTCTTCGCCAGCTAGGAACCGGGTTTATGTCTTCGTGCTCATGCGCCGATCGAGGTTTTTCCTTCTTCCAGGTCCAATGTCATCCGACTCGCGCACCACTGAGAGCTTGGCGGGAAAATCGATGGGCGAAAGGACAGAGTGGAGGAACAACCACAGGCACGACATGAGAGGAGACCTTCGTCTGGAATGTAAAGATCATCCAGTGCATTATGTCGGGAGACCTTTCTTTTTGACAGCCGAGTGTTGTCTCTGTGAGTCCAGCTCCGAAATTACCGCAATGGCTGTCATTCTCATTCTGTATGCTAACATGACTCTGTGTACAGTACATTAGTGCTTGGTATCCAGGTCACGCAAACGTCAGTATACAGTCTTGTCTATTGTCTTCGGTCTTAGTACATATATATCAGTTCAACTGACTCGAGCATCATCCCTGGCTGAAGCCTCGCGCTCAAGTCCTATCTCCTCTTAAGCAGAAACGCTTCTACTTCACACAACTCAGGTCGTTGATTTATGATACCATATTTACCGACAAACTCGCAGCAAAGTACCATGGCTATCCCCTCGATCCGCACAGGGGGGTTAGAGGCGAGTGGGACGGCGTTGTATGCCATGATTTATGACTCTCGTTTATTTTTTCTCTCGCTCGTCGCTCCCTCTCCACCTCCACCTTTCTACCCAGGCCTCGCCCCCATCGATCTTTTCGCAAAGGCTTGACAACTCTTAAAGCCAGCTGAATTGTGGATCTCCCGCTGACCGTCTGCCTTTCAACCAATAAGACTCGCCTGAGCCGATCGATCGCTTGTTTTTGCCGGTGCTCGTATCGACTGCAACTCGGGGAATTTCTACCGACGGCAATGGAATTTCCTTCATTCCTTCAAAAAGGGGTCGTTGTCTTGTCTGGTTTCCACTTCTGATGGGCGGCGTCTTTTCTATTGCTCGGATAGTTGCAGGGAATGCCTGGATCCAGTCGCTCGTTTGACCTCTCCTGATCCATCGTCGACCGATACTACGCTCGTTCTCTTGCTGATCCCTTCTTTCTCCTGACTAAATTCGTCAATACATTGCACCTCACTCGCCCAGTCTTTGTTACCGGCGCAATCGCAACATGAAAACGATCATCCGCAGCTCATTGCTGGCCCTGCTCGCAACCACCGCTTCCGCGGTCGGCACGGGAGCCTGCACCACCAGCGTCCAGCAGGCTGTCCAGAATCCCTCCTTCGAGGACGGTACCACAGACTGGACTATCGCGACTGGAGGGGCAGGGAGCGTCTACGACACCTATCGAACTTCGTCAGCCCCCGATGGCAGCTATGTCATAGCCATCAATGGCGATTTGGCCTCTAACGGCCTCTCCCAGACCCTGACCGATCTGGCTGTGGGTAGTACCTATACGCTCAGCCTGTACTGGCAACTCTTGTCGATAGGCACAGGAACCTGTTCGCTCAACGTCTACATCGACTCTGCGGAGAGCAGTAATGTGGCGGCCACCGGGCAGCTCACATCGGCGAGCAGTGCCTGGACCCACGTCACTGGCCAGTGGACGGCGACCAGTACAACCCACAAATTGATGGTGGATTTCACCTGCACGGCCGGCAGCTTCTCGAGCAACTCGGAGGTCAATTTCGACGACATCACTTTCACTGGTCCTACCGTGGTCAACTGCCCGACTTCGACGGCACAGACTTCAACTTCGACTCCCACTCCGACGCCCTCCGTTGCTTCAGCATCGTCCTCCACGCCTGTTGTTGCTATGACTTCTTCTAGCAGCCCAGCTGCCACATCGTCCCCGGTGCTCTTCACCTCTGTTTCCGTGCAGAGCAGCAGCAGCAGCGCAGTCACCATCATCCCTTCCGTTCGTCCATCATCGGCAGCGGTGCGGCCATCGTCCAGTTTCCCCGTGCAAGCGTCATCCGCCTCATCATCCGTTCGCGTGACGCCAAGCCTGTCGACCCCGGCCCATCAGCTCTCGGCCTCATCATCTAGTGCGCCGTCCAGCTCGGCTGCAGTCCAGAGCCTCACGTCCACTGCCCTCTTCGGTAGCAGTACAGCGATCGCGGCGATAGAGACAGATGTGGACGTGGTGACCTCCACTGTCTATGCGACCGTTACCGCGACTTTCACCGTCGCATGTTGATGAGCCTAATTCTTATCGACGGAGTGTTGAAGATTGAAAGGCTCTAATACCATGTCAGCGTTTGTTTAATTGTACTAATGCAGGGGAGAATATTGTAATAGTAGAACAGTCGCTTTTGAGTATATCCATAGAGTATCCTGTTCAGGCTTAGGTCTTATATTATCGAAGATGCGATTATAATAATGTTGGCGCGTCCTACCGCATTCACCTCAATTACAGGCAAGCGTTAGGGGTCACGCTCAAGACAAAAGTTGTCTATAAAATGGCACCTTGAGGTGGTAATCATAATCAATCACTCACCGTCTCGAGAGGCGTCTCCACCCTCCCCCAGCAGCGAGGGCACAACCACTTCCCGACCCCTTACTCGCCAGGTAGTATAGTTGCAGCAGGCCGGCCTCCGTTGTTGTCGTTCGACTCGGCCCGTTGCAGGTAGGTAGCTAGGGGTGAAGTAGAGAGCATGATGTAGGTTTCTGTGGAGCTCAGGAATTGACTTTGTCTTTATTTCGAGGATTCCCCTGAAAAAAGCCAGCTATCGATTGAGGCATTGACAAAATTGATAAGCATGTCTTTCTCACGCATCTCGAAGTAGACTCCCCTAGCTGTATATAAAGCACTCCATATCGTATCTCTCACTCGATCTACTAGACTTTCAATGTAAGAAGAGTCTTGGATGTAGAGGACATGTTAGAAGATTCTACTGGCTAAAGGAAGATTACAGATGATATAATCCTTGATTCAGCTACGACGACTATGTTTTTTCTTTAGTTCTTATCGTTTCATCCTTCCTGCACTATCACCACACGGTGCCGAAAGGAACCTGAAAGATTCAAAGACTAAAGAAAAAAAGGCTCAGGCAACGAAGACGTCCGGAATGGGAGCGCCAGTAACTTCTCCCGGAGGAGCGTCCACGAGTCGTCCACCCCCCGGAGGATGGTTATCATCATGGTCACCGCCCTCTGGTACTTTGCCAGATCCTGGGGGAGCGCAAAGTCGAAGTCGAGCTGGCCGTTGCACTCGATGTAGCGGGCCGCCTGGTCGCCCTCGGTGTCTCCGAAGAGGAAGCGCGCGTGGCCCCCGCGGACTACCACCTCGCCCATGTACATCCGGCGCAAATGGGGTCGAGCCTGACGCCGCAGCTGCCACCACTCGTTGGCTTGCAGGCGCGCTGCGTCCCAGTCCGCGTCATCCGGAGACCAGATGATGCCCAACCGCCAGCTGTCGGGCGGCTCGGCGGTTTCATCGTTCAGCAAGGACATCGAGTCGTCGGACATGATGTTGTTGTCGGGGATGGTCCCGTCAGAGAGAGTGTCACTGTCAGACATGGTGCCGTTGTCGGGCAAGGTGTGCTCGTCGGACATGACGGATCTATGGTCGAAAGGGATCCGGGTGGGAGATTGGGAAAGCAAGTCGGGTGTTGGTAGGGTTCGAAGTGACGATGATGGTGGTAACGTTCGCCTCTATTTATAGGTTACCTGTACAAGTAGCATCCCAAACATAGACCCCTTGGAACCTCAGGACTATGGGCGAAGATTCTCTCTATCGACTACCAGAATTTCGCGGCTTCTTTATCCTTTGCCTTGCTCGGGTGAACATCTTCTTTATCCTGGCTCTGTGGTTTGTTTCTCTGTGCTTGTTTGTACAAAGGGTGCAACCAAGATAGGTGACTTTACACTAGCAGGAGAAATATTAGATTGTACAATAATAATGTTCTTTGTAAGATACTAAGCTGCACCTCTATAAACTACATCAATCAGATCTCCACAAGGTAAACTTGAACTACTATCAATCAGTCACCGCCTCGAAGATGGTCTCAGCCTGCTCTCATCAGACCAGTAGCTGGGCTGGCAGACCTCCTGATGACTATAATAATATTTCTCTCAAGGCCTTGAGAGTACTATCTTCTCCCTATACCTAGAGAGAAAGTGATAATACTGATATATGCTAGGAACTTACTAGACTTTTAGTGTAAGAAGGATATTGATAGATATGTACTTAAAAATATTGCTGGCGAAGAGAATTGGTAAAGGTGATATGATACTTTAATTGAACTCAAGTCTGCTGTCTTTGTCTGTTTTTGTCTGTTTTTCTTTTTTCCACCATTCTCTTTTTCATTTTTCATTCTTTTTAATTTTTTTTGTATCCTTTTTTTCTTATTTAATTAGGTTGGGGAATGGGCAAAAGGAAGGAGAAGGATGAACCCTGCCTGGAGGCAAACCAACTAACACCCGCGTAGTACCAATGCCAGCTCTTCCAACACTTCCAGTGTATGCTCCCACCAATCGCCCTCGGCCCAGATGAATTCGCCCAAGACGTTAGCCTTGGCGAGAAACTTCTCAAAATCCTCGGGCCGCGAGAAGTCGAACTCGACCTTGTCGCGCCCCATGAAGCTGGCCGGCCCGTCGTCGGGGGCTCCGTAGACGAAGCGCGCGTGATGGCCGCGGACCAGCAGCCCGCCCATGGGCACCTCCACCAGCTCGGGCTGAACTGCCCGCATCTCCCGCCACAGCTCGTTGAAGGCCACAAGCGCCGGTCCCCACTCCTCGCCATCCCGAAGCCGCCTGATCGTCATCCGATCGGCGGGCAGCTCTGGTGTGGAGGTTGCAAACATGATGTTGGAAGTGTTGAAGGTTATCCTGGTGGACGGGGAGCACTGACAAGTTCGGGGATGGTGAAGAGGAGAGTGACAGGTGATGGTGAGGGCATTGGGCGGTATTTATAGATTATCTGTGTAGTATGGTTTGGCAAAAGGAACCCAGATATTAGGAAGTATAGGATAAAGCATCTGTCCAGCGACAGGCTGCGCGCCGGCAAGTCTTTTTTCATATGCTTTGTGCCTTCAGGTTGTTGTTGTGCACTCCTGCTTTGTCTTGGGTCTTTGGCTTGTTTGTCTGTTTTGATTTGTGGCAAGGACGCAACAAAGATCGCTGACTTGTGCAATGGTGAGGGCTGAAAGAATCTTTGTAGTAGTAGGTGATAAAGACGTGATGACACTGAATGCTGGTTGCAGAATAGCCAGGTTTGCGGTTGTCGGAAGTACAAAGGGAACGCTTTTGAGGGAGAGTCAAGCTGCTCGGCTGGAATGGTCTGAGTAGGCTGCAAAACAAGAGTTTGGCCAGTGGAGACGAGGGTCTGAGCAGTCTGGACAACGGTTGAGAACAAGAGCTTGCATTTTGGATGGTAGTGGGTGGACCAATCGATCTCTTTCTTGGTAGTTAATGTTGACTGAATATAAAGAGAAATCTTTACCGTATCACCGGCCCGGGCGCGTCTTCCTCCAAAATGCAGACTCAGAGGCATTCCAGTATCGAATCGTTGAATGTAAGTGTCATCCAATCTATACACCAAGAGATGGTAGCAGTGCAATGACATAGCACCTCCCTGTGATGTTCCTTTGTTTAATCCAACTTTCTCTGTGGCAAGGAACGACTACTTTCGCTGTCCCTGTGTATAGTCCTGGCAACAAATGTTCGACAATCCGCCATTCCGCTGCCTGGGACCATATGCAAACCGAATTGTCTCCCTTGGTGTGTCGGCAAGGCCTGGAAGACGCTTGTCCCGGCCTGGAAGAAAGGTGAAGACACTTGATCAAAACCAGAATAAATGCAAAAACATACAACAGAAGGGATTCGCTGGTGGTCACCCACCCAACTACTAACCTCCCGGCGTGTGGCTTAAGTACGGCTGAGCGGACGGGAAGCCCTGTTTTCCACACCCTGTGGTCGTATGTGCTTGTGTTCTGCTAAATTCCCAATATAACACATAAACATGGCAAATCTTGAACCAACGAAGTTCGTATAACCGTGAACAAGCTGTCCCGTGGCCAACGCGCAAGATGGCAGAGATTCGAGATCAGCACCACTTTACTGCGAAAGGTTCTACCAGCCCAGTTTTATTCTCCAACGGGCTCAGCCACACCCTGTCGATCTCCGCGGAGCAAGCGCTGTGACGAACTCAATTGACATCATAGGAGGGTTAACCCACAGTGAGTCAAACCTTTTCTTGTCCTCACGGCAGCTGAAACCCTTCTCGTTGAAGCATCAGCCACAGCCATGCTTAGCCACCTCCCTTCCACTGACACACAGGTGGATCGCTCGCATGAGATATCCGGCACCTCCGGCCGTCAGGGCAGAGTCCGGACCAACCGAAGCGTGACCCGCTCCCAGCTCGTCGGTACCTTCGGGTTAACCGTTGGATGACGCCGACCTTGACTCGCAGTTTCGGTACGACAGACAAAACGATTGGGCCGCAACAAGCTATACGAACAAGGCCACATTAGTGCCAATCAGCAGTTACTGACGAAAAGAAAATTTTCGCAAGCGAGTCGATGTAGCGACCCTCCACTGCGGGTGATTGGTCGAGTACCCGAGTAGGCTCCACCGGGCGTTATTCCCTTTCTATGTATAGCCTCAAGCTTGCTGTATTAACCTATTCATGGTTCGGTTCATGAACTCGTGTTCGTTCGAAGTTATTCATTCGAGCCTCCTTTCTTCGAGTCGTCCTTGTTATTCTGTTCTGTAAAATCTGTGTTGTGACGGCAGGAGTTAGGTTGATATGTTTCTCCACTGAAATGTTTGATGAGAGCAAACAAATGTCCTTGTTTCCCTTCGGATCTTACGGATTGTAGCTTCGACGCTAGTGAAGTATGATCTGGCTCAGGTGAATGTGGCTGAGAGGCGTCAAGCTATTAGAAATGGCAGTGGCAGCGCACAAGGGGTTTCTGTAGGGGTCCAGGTTCGGATTGTGGCTTGGTGGATCATGAACTTTTTATGATTTTTGTTCTTGTGGCTTTCATGTTTGTAGGGTCGCAGCTTTAAGAACTTGGTGTTAGCCACATCAAGCTTCATACCCAAGAGCAAAGAAAACTTCGCAGGATTTTTGGACTAACACAGACGGGGCCAACTATACGGTACCTTAGTTCTGCACTCCGCAGTCAACACCAGTCAACACAATTATTGTTCACCATTCAACCAATCAAGATCTGTGAATACCAATTGATACCATGGCGACATCCTCGAATCACCCTGCAGAGAATGCAAAGTTCCGCATCCTAATGCTTCATGGTATGGTGCGACCCTCATCATCAGTATCACGATTTCCCTATCGACTAACCAAACCACCAGGCTACGCCCAGACGGCTCAGGCCCTCCGCATCAAAACCCGCCCTCTCCTCCAAGATCTCACCCAGACTCTTACTCCGGTCATTGAACGAAAATATCCCGGAGGTATTGAATACCTCTTCCCCGACGGACCCATCGACCTCGACACCAACACCACCTCCTTCACCACATCTAAGTCGCACCTCACAAACGGAACGCGATTAGCATGGTGGCTCAACCTCGACGACACAAGCCGCTACATCTTCCTCAATGACACAATACATTACCTCTCCGAATACCTACAGGGCACGCCCATTCACGCGATCATAGGCTTCTCGCAGGGCGCCGCGCTGGCCGTGATGCTCGCGGCGATGTGCGAGGCCGCCACCGATCCGCAGCGGTTGCAGGCCATGCAGACACAGAATCTCCCTGTCGGTACCTTCCTGCGGTCGCTTCCAGGTCAAAAACCCCTTGAATTTGTCTTAAGCTTCTGTGGCTTCCGCGGCACAATGGAGTATTATAGCAGTCTGTACACGCCGGCGCTGTCGACGCCGTCGTTCCACGCGATCGGTGTATTTGATACCATGATCACGGCGGGGGAGAGTCGCGAATTGTTGGAGGCGTTTGTCGCACCGGAGGTGCGGTGGTTCTTCGGGGGGCATTTTGTACCAAGAGATACGGGGAGTATACGGCAGGTTGTCGGGTTTCTGAAGCGGGTATGTTCAAAGAGGGCGATTGGAGATACGAGGGGGTTGGGGGCTGCATTGACGATAGACTCGGGTTCAGATTCAGAGTTGAGCGTGTCGAGTTCATCGGGTGAGAGAAGGAGATTGAACAGGGTGGAGGTGCGTGTGAGGAGACGGTCTCCGGTTCAGATGGCGTGGGGAAGGCGGGGTCCCGCGGTGAGGCTGGCGTTGGCGGCTTGAGTTTTGTACTGTACCAAATGGGGAGTAATGGACAAACTGAGTGCTATGCGGCATGACAATTGACATGATAGCCACGAATATGTGATTAGAAGAACTAAGGGAAATGGAAACATAATACTCAACTGAGCTCTGGCAGTACCTTAACCCCCAATACAATCCTTGCATTATTCCTCAATTTTGTCTGGGCAAAAGAGGTTGTCTGTGTCTCCAATGTTAGACAATGCGCACACCACTTTCGGGCCTGTGTTGGGTCTATAATGTACACACTTTTGTTTCTCTAAGGTCAAATATGGAATGAATGGCTCGATGTTCCTGTTGGAACATGTTTGACTTAGTCATGATGCCACCACCGCTGGTCTGAATTCATGCCGATACTGGTTCCGGCGACCATGGCAGCCTGCATCTGCAGCACCTTAGGTAGGAGACCCACATTGCCCAAACATGGAAGTTCGAAGACATTGCATCGCAGTTAGCAAGGATAGGCTAATCTGTATTTGTGTATACAAGCTTCTAGAAAAGTAAAGCATTGGGATCTAGATACTGTTTCAGTGATGTGAATTAGAATTGTATTAGTGGTGGTTAGTGACCCGATTCTGTGTTCTACATGATCACCTCTAGTACAGTACAAGGTACAGTACATACGTGGGCAAGGCCAAAGCGGCAATTTTAAGCCCCGTGCCTGAGTCAATCGGGGCAATCCAACCGCGCGGGTAGAAAGACAAGTTTTCGGACCAAATGGTCCACCGTAGCCACTCATTTCCTGATTTGAAGCCAGAGCATTGTTCCACATGGTCCTCCCCACAATACCCCATCTTCAATTTGCGGGGTACGGTTCTCCGGCATTTCCTGAAGAAATTCTACGATGATGGCATCATGTATTCTGAACGCAAATATTTAAGTCTTGAAATTTCCTACGGAAATGGGATAGTAGACCATTTTGAGTTCATCACAATCAGCAGTCAGAATGCAACTGTCTGTTCGCCGGCTACTTTCACTCGGCCTGCTGGCCACCGCGCTTCCTGCTACAGTATGCGGTGCCAACCGATCCTCAATGCTGCGAACCGTGGTGACCACCGACCTCGAGCAGGACGACTTGGCCTCCCTGATCCGATACCTCCTCTACACCAACGAGCTCGACACCCAAGCAATCATCTATAGTTCCAGCCGGTACCACTGGTCCGGTGACGGCAATGGAACCAAATTTTTCTTGCCCGATCGCGAGTACAGCAGCCCGCAGTGGGCGTGGCGCTGGACCGGCACACGCACCCTACAGGACAAAGTCCTCCCTGCTTATGCCGAGATTTGGCCCAATCTGAACAACCACGATCCCTCCTACCCGACCCCTGACGAGCTTGCATCTCTGATCAAGATCGGCAATATCAACTTCGAGGGCGAGATGGAGTTAGATACCGAGGGCTCGGACCTCATCCGATCCCTGATCCTCGACGATGACCCACGCACGCTGTACTTGCAGGCCTGGGGCGGCACCAACACCATCGCGCGCGCGCTGAAGTCGATCGAAGATGAGTACTCGGGCGGGTCGCAGTGGAATGAGACTCGGGATGCAGTCGTCAAGAAAACTGTAATCCTAGCCAGTGGGTTCCAGGACGAGACGTATGCGAATTACATCTCTCTCCAATGGCCGCAGATCCGCGTCGAACAGCTGGAGCCTGGATACACAACCTGGGGCTACAACTGCAACAAAGGCCAGGGTAACACACGCGGACGCTCCACTGGCGACAACCTGTACTTCACGGGGAAGTGGATGAAAGCACACATCCAAACAGGACCGCTCGGAAGGCTTTACCGCTCGTGGATCGATGGCCAGTCCATGGCCGGCGATGCCCAGGACATTTTCGGGAGCGCAGCCACTGCAAACCAATCTGCATTTTGTAAGGCCCTGGAGCCATACGCCTTTTTGTCTGAGGGAGACAATGTGGTGTTTAATCCCTTGTTGACGACGGGTCTGCAGAACCCGGCGAACCCGAGTCTCGGCGGATGGGGCGGTCGCAGCTACCAGAATTCCACCTCTCCCAATCTGTGGGTCATGGTGTCGAGTGAGAAGAACAAGGCGGGCGTCGAAGTTGACGACTACACCACTGACCGATGGGCTGGGGCGGCGCAGAACGACTTTGCGGCGCGCATGCAGTGGACCCTGACCCCGAAGTATAGTAGTGCCAACCACCCCCCGTCCGTGACGATTTTGAACGGAACGACAGTCGAGGCACAGGCCGGAACGACGGTTACCCTGGCCGGAAATGTCAGCGATCCCGATTCCAACAACGTCACCACCACTTGGTGGCAGTTTTTCGAGGAAGGCACTTACCCGGGCAATGTCACCGTGACGGAGGTGGGAGACGATCAGGCGGAGGTGGAGATCCCCACCGATGCGCAGACTAGCGAGACCGTCTCAATCATCTTCGAGGGAACGGATGACGGGCAGTTTCCATTAACTCGTTATGGGCGTGTGTTCATCCGGATTGTATAGGTGGTTTGTTTGCTCAGAGGCATGATCATGACAATGACAGCTTAGCATGCTTTTCAGTATTCAGAGATTCGAGCAGCGTGAAGATGAAAGTAATAGAACTTGGAGAGGAGGGGCAGTAACGACGGTCGGCAAGGATGGAGGAGCGGGGAGGATTTCCTGCTTATCGGTTATCCGCTTATCGGTCATCTCCTATCTCCGCCTTTGTGGCCCCTGCCCCGTCATCATCTCATCTCATCTGTACGAAGGACTAGTCATCCCATCAATCACGTTAAAAAGCTGAAGCTGTCATCCTGCATAGCACATTCTGATAATGCTTAGAAATACAGTCAAGTCGTAAGCACTGTGTTTTGTCATGCAGCTCTAACACTAATGAATCAAGGAGTTTTTGACAGCAGTGCTCTTCTGCGGAATATATAGACTACGGCCGAAGCTTCAAGGCAACGATGGCGGGTCTGACAGCAACTCGAATCACCCACAGGCAATTAATTTCAAAAAAACTAATACGTTCGAAAAATCGATGGACGCATCAACTACTGGCGAAGCCAAATCGCGCTTCCCAATTGTCGGAAGTGATGGGTGGTCCACCGCGGACGAAGCAACCGCAACCTGCTTCTGCGGCGCCGTGCAATTGTCTTTTGTAGGCTTCTATTCCAACAATGTCTGTGCTCAAAGATCTACTAAACAAGCGATTCAAACTGTAGCCAACCCACGGTCCCGGATTCGTGGTCTCCTTCATCTGCAACTGCACCGACTGCCACAAAATCACGGCCTCGATGCATTCGACCGGCTTCATCGTCCACGACACCCACCTGAAACATCTGCGCGGGCAGGCGGTCCTGAAGACATACACGCAGCCCAAATCCCCCGGGAGCGAGACGACGGTGACCAACCACTTTTGTTCCACGTGCGGATCGCTCATGTATCGCGTCAGTGCGGCTCATCCGGGCATGAGTGCGCTACGGGTTGGGACGGTGGACGATTTTTCTTTGCATGAAACGAGGTTGCGGCCGACGGTGGAGTTGTTTACCAAGGACCGCGTAGCGTGGAAGCCTCCCACCGCTGGGGTGGAGCAGTTTGTGGCCGATGGGTTGCATTAGACAGAGTGGATGTACAGTACAGTAATCTATGCAATTGATGCATACTCATAGAATGGCACGTGGTGATAACAGTGTCCCCGTCTCGGGTTTCAATCAAGTTCTGGGCTTATCAAAGTTCTTCAGGAAAAATCTGGAATGGCGGGCGGGATTTGGCTCCAGGCTGGCGGCTGGTCCGCCCGATTGGCTGGTTGCGTGGCGGACGCAGAAAATTCTCAACTCCACCGCACTTTGGCGGGCAAAGAGTGGCAAGTCCACCCGGTGAGGTGAACTGCTGATCACGGGCATGGACTACTGCTCGACATGATTAGCGTTGCATAGGTGTGGCATCAACTGCCGGTTGAATCATGTCAAGTTAATGCTGTACTCCGGAGTAGGTTGGTCTGACAGGGGAGACGATCCTCCTGCCCTCGTGCGATTCAATGGCATTTGCCACGAGGGTTAGGGTTGGGGATTGGGATTATCAAGATTATCAGCAAACGATTAGCCAAGAGAAACGGAATGGAAGCGTCCAGCGTCTTGGCAACCCCATTACGCAGGGCGCGACACCAATCACGCAATTGACTCACCCGCTTCTTAGGTAAAATAAAAATTTCTTTTATAGACCGGCCACCTTGCCCTGCACACTCTCTTTCCCTCTTGACATTTCTTGAAAGTTTTTGCCTCTTGTGTGTCGTGTGTCGTGTGTCGTGTCGTGTACCTGTCGCAGAGTAGCAATGGCCTCAGCATCTGCCAACCACGAGGTGGACGCCCAGGAAGCGCCGCAAGCCGTAGACATGCCGCGCGTGTCTCGGTTTTCCGGGGTCAAGTCCATCTATCGCTCGATTCCCTTTCAGATTGCCATCGCCAGCGGTGTCTCGTTCACGGCGCCTGGTATGTGGGATGCCATGAACAACCTTGGCGCTGGTGGAGCTGCTGAGCCCTACGCTGTCTCGGCGGCCAACGCCCTGGTCTATGGATTGTTCGCCATTGTCTGTGTGGCCGCCGGTGCCATCAACAACCGCATCGGTCTGCGCTTCGGTTTGGTGCTGGGAGCTATCGGTTATCCCATCTATGGTGCTGGTCTCTACACCAACAACTATGCGCCCACCACCTGGTTCATGCTCTTTGGCAGTGCCTTGTGTGGTATCTCCGCCGGTTTCTTCTGGGCGGCCGAGGCGGCGATCATCATCGGCTATCCCAGTCCGGCGGATCGCGCTTTCTATTTGGGTATGGCAATGTTTATTCCAATGATTCCAATGATTCCAATGATTCCAATAATTCCAATGATTCCAATGAAATGCTAACAGCTTAACAGCCATTTGGCAAACTGCCAAAGCCGCTGGTCCGATTGTCGGTGGTGCCATCAGTTTGGGCCTCAACGCGCAGACCTCGTCCAAGGGTACCATCAGTGCAGGCACGTACATTGTGTTCATTGTGATCATGTGCCTGGGCTTCCCGATCGCCCTGTGCCTGAGTCCGGCGGAGAAGGTGCAGCGTAAGGACCAGACGTTGGTGGTGGTGCACAAGCAGGAGTCGTGGGCGGCCGAGTTCAAGGCGGCGGTGAGCCTGATCTGGACGCGGCGCGTACTCATGTTGCTCCCCGCCTTCTTCATCAGTTACTTCTACAACGCCTTCTCCAGCACGTGGTTGACCGACTACTTCACCGTCCGCTCACGCGCCTTCTCCTCCTTCTTCACCAACTTCGCCGGTATCGCCTCCTCGTTCCTGATCGCTGCTCTCCTTGATCGCCAGTCCATTCACATCAAGACTCGTGCCAAGATCGGCTTCCTGTCTATTATCACCGTCCTCACGGGTACCTGGATCTGGGCCTGCATCTTGCAAAGCCAGTTCTACAACGCCCCGGAGGCCCCCACCTTTGACTGGTTCACCGGCGGGTTTGGCAAGTCCTACGCCCTGGTCTTCTTCTGGCAGTTTGGCGGCCAGGCCTTCCAGCAATTCCTGTACTGGCTGGTCGGTCAGTACAGCACCGATATCTCTTCTCTGTCCTACCACTGCGGAATCCTTCGTGGATTCGAGGCGCTGGGACAGACCGTTGCCTGGGCGTACGTTTCCCCCCTTGTTCTTTGATTGCCACAGGAACTGACCGAAACAGTATGCAAACCGAAGGCAACGTCAACCACTTCGCCAGCATTGGCCTCAACTTCGGCGTCACCTTGCTGTGCGTCATCCCCACTTGGATCGTCCTGTCCGGCCTGGAACACAGCCACGAGGTGCAGGTCACCGCCGAGGATGTCCAGGCCAAGAACGCGGACGACTCCGAAGCCTAAAATGGCACCCCCATGGATTTTCAACAAAGTCCAACACGAATATATAGTATTTAATATTTTAGCATGAGATACCCCTTTTTCAACAATCTGGCATCGTTTAGCGTGGAGTGATTTGTGGTGGATTCATGGAATGGAATTCAATCTTTACCTTTATTACAATGGGTCTTTTCTGCTTCAGTCAAGCGTATTCAATTTGTGGAAGCTGAAGCCTTCTACAGGCAGCTGGCCTACAGGCAGCTTGCGATTTACATATACTACCAATATCAGATTTACGACAACGAATCAAGCGTGATGAAATACTGGTCTATATTATGCGACTATGCTTTGATCTATATTATGCCATTATGTTTTGACCTATACCTCGGCCCTCCCCAAGAAAGCAGCCATCCTCCGATACATTTCCACCGGGTTGGAGTACATGGGGAAATGCCCACTCTCCCTGATGAGCGCCAGCTCGACCCCCTCCTTCTCCAGCCGGGGCAGATACGACAACCCGGCGTTCTCCTCCCCGAACATGAACATCTTCGGACACGAAAAGGCCAAGAACATCTCCAGTAGACTGCCGGAGTCGGATAGCTGGACCATGGACTCGAAAATCGCGCGCACCGCGCCGGCGCGCACCCTCGCGCGAATGGTGCTGGCGTACAGGGCGCTGCCGTAGGAGTTTGCGGTCGCGGTGCGCGCGATGAATGCATCCAAGAAGGCTTCCGGGTCGTCGGCCGGGAAGAGGAAGATTTGCCGGCTTAGGAAGCAGTCTTCTGGGGCGAGGTTGCCTTTGATGTCTACGAAGCTTAGCACGCGGGTAGGATGGCGGTGCGCGAGAAGGAGGGCGGTCAGTCCGCCCATTGAGTGGCCCATCAGGTGGAATTGCTCGATCTGGTAGTGTGCGACCACCGCTTCGGCGGTGGCGACTAGGAACGGGATGTCGGTGGCGGAGAGGTTCGTGCTGGTGGTGTGCCCGCAGCCTGGTGCGTCAAAGGCAATGTAGCCATATTGCTGGAAGGCGGGACGGATCGCAATGTCGGCGAGGTCTTCTTTGCATGATCCGAAGCCGTGGAGGAAGAGGATTGGGGGTTTGCCGATGTTCAGGTCGTTGTGGACGGTGGCGATGTTGAGGCTCACGCCTTGGACTTGGAGGGGGATTGTTTCGTATGTGAGCGGCATGGTGAGGCTGGGCTGTGAGGAGTTGATGTATGTAGATGGCTGATTCCTAACCGGCGGATGTAAAGCATTTATTGTATTTATTGTCGGGCCTCAGATGCAAGGGCGATTTAGGTTTCGGTCCGCCACCTGCAGGGTCGATGGATGGGGGCGGCAGAAAGTCGTCTTGCCGACCTCGGCATTGCCCCCCGGTCGGGATCGGCGCGTTTCCCCGACTATGCTGAGATAACGCTCATAGTTAATTCTGCTGTATAAGGTGCATGGGGTAATTGTTCCATCTTCTCGCCGACATGTTAATTTCAGGCACTGTAATAGTTCGTCCTTCTGGCAGCAGCTTCGTCAAGAATGGCAACATCGTTCTTCAATCCGCAATTACGATTGCTCAATGCCCTTCGAGCCGGTGCAAAGCCGGTTATGACCTTCTTAGGGCTTCCGTCCTTCCGCACAGCACAGATCGTAGCTCAGACCGGTGTCGATGTCAGTACCATAGCCCTATAATCATGAGACTTTTTATTGACGAATCCAGGGTATCATAATTGACTGTGAACACGGTAACATCAGCGACGATGCCATGCACAGCTCAACGGCTGCCATCGCCGCCATGGGCGTCTCGCCGCTGGTCCGGCTCCGAATGACCCACCCGGATCTCATCAAACGAGCTCTCGATGCAGGGGCGCAGTAAGCATCTGGCTCACCTTACCCTTGTGAGTTGTGCTAATGTAATGTACAGTGGCATCGTCGTGCCCATGCTCAACACCGCCGACGAAGCCCGGGCGGTTGTTGCGCATGCGAAATTCCCGCCGCAGGGGCTGCGAGGGCAGGGATCCGCATTTCCCGCCATTGCCCACGGCATCGACCTGCCGACTTACATCAAGACGGCGAATGAGACGCTCATCACCTGTGTTCAGATCGAGACCAAGTTGGGGGTGGAGAATGTGGATGCCATCTGTGCTGTGCCGGGTGTTGGTGAGTACTTGGCCCGATGCATCTTCTAGACATTTGGTTGATTGTGTGTTCAAGATATGATCTTCATCGGCCCTAATGACCTGGCTCTATCGGTCTTGGGCTATGTCCCTGCTAAAGGTGATGAGCCGGAATTTGTCGAGGCGATTGAGAAAATCCTGGCTGCGGCCCGCAGGCATGGTAAATGGGTCAGTCGATTGTCCAACAACGGGGCTTTATGTAAAGAGCATCTAAAGGTGTTTGATACGGTGGCGTTGAGTTATGATATTCGGGCCATGCAGAACTGGTATACCAGTGAGTTGCAGCTGGCGAGATCATGATAGGCAGCGACATGAGCGCCGCTACTTTGGATTGTAGAAAGACGATTTCATTTCTGGGTCTTGCTTTTCGGTTTGTGTGATCCTTTTGAGCGGAGTAGATTCTGTGCATATATGTATCTATTAAGCACTGGTACAATTGTCAAGTAGCTCGTTCACTTTTCTCTCGGTGTCCAAAAGTATAGTTTTTACCACCGGGTTTTTCAATACGGCGGGTCTCTTGGAGGGTTCAAGATTTGCTACACAGCTCGACTACGCTGAAGACTTGGGTGTTTTCTAGGACATTGGCTATCGAGGGAAAGCAGAGTTCATTCATTCATCACAATATCTACTCTACATACCAACAGATATAATGGGATGAGGAAAGAGCAAATGCGCGACCTTTAACCAATTCCTTTACTCATCCTTCCCATGCCGCTGCAATGTATGGTAACCCAACTTCTTCCGTGCCTCAGCGATAGTGGCACCCCCAGCAATCATCTCCCGGATACCCTCCTCGCTCTGCTCGATTTTGCGTGCGACTTCGGCCACCTCGCGCGCCCGAGCACGGGGCACAATGACCACGCCGTTCGCATCGGCGACAACGATATCGCGCGGGTTGACGCGGACCTTGCCAATGCCGACAGACTCGTTCACGCCTCCGACCTGCACGCGGTCTTTGCCCGTTCGCATCCACCGACCAGCCGTGAACAGCGGGTAATCATCGCCAATGGCACGGTTCACATCTCGACACACCCCGTCGATCACAGTTCCGGCGATGCCTCGCAGGCCGGTGTACTGCGTCATGATATCTCCCCAAACTGTGCAATCTGTGCGACCGCCATTGTCAATCACCACAATATCGCCCTCGGCTACATCATCCACAAAGTCTCCCACACTACCCGGCGGATCGCTGGCCGGCACATACCGCACGGTGAAGGCCGGTCCGACGGTGACTTTGGTATAATTCGCAAGAGGCATGATTCCGAACGCCTGGCCCGGAATGCCCAGTTTATCCAATGCATCTGACACCGCTGGTGTATCGGAGTCGGCAAACAACGCCACAAGCTCTTTGTCTTCTGGAATGGCGGACTTTGGATTGTGCGGAGATGGGACGGGTTCTGGTGCTGCAGTCTTTTGCGGGGTTGGAGCGCTGTCACTCTGCCGAATGGCTTCGAACTGCGAATCGTGCATCACCTCCGAGACCGGGTGACCGGCACGGACAGCCTCCACCATGCGGGCCTGGCGACGATCGATGCGTTCGGCCAAATCCACAACCTCGCCAATGCGCGCAGCTGGTACAAACACCGTCCCGCAGTTGTCGGCAATCACATAATCATCCTGATGAACCGTGACTCCGCGTACCTGCAAGGGCGTGCCTGACGCCACCTGCACCAGCCGATTGCGGGCGCTAATCATCGTCACTCCCCGGCCGTACACGGGGTAGCCCACGTCGCGGCTGCCGTCAATATCGCGACTCATGCCATCGATGATGGTTCCGCGAATGCGCTTCTGCTTAGAGGCGTTGGCGACAATGTCGCCCCAGCAAGATATGCCTTCCGTCCCGCCTGCGATGACCAGGACGCGGTCATCAGTGGTGACGGCGTCGATGACGGGGGTGAGCAGATGTGTGGTCGGCTTCACGTCGGTCTTGGGGCCGACTTGGACGGTGCTGGCACGTCCAACAATCTTTGGACACTCCCAGAGAGGTCGCAGGTCATAGGTGGCCCCTTTGAGGCCGAGAAAGTCTAAGGCATCGGAAATTGTGTTGCTGTCTAGCGCTGCCAGGCGATCAAGAACGCTGGTACCGCTCATTTTGTCGGCTGCGGGTGGGAAGGTGGGTTCAAGAATTGTAGGAAGATGAAATTTCAGAAACTGTGACTAAAAAGATGCCAATGGGTCAGTTCAGGGCAATTCCTACATAGGTGGAGGGGAAGGTCTTATAGATGGCTCCTGAGTAGATTAGATGAGACGCGGTACTGTCGGGGAATCGACAGTTGGCCGATAGTCCAGACGGTCGGTCGCCACAACGGGCGGATTCTGCTCCCGCCGATCGGAGCTAGAGACAATGAGTCGACTGCCAAGGATCTTTGAACTATTAGTAGTAACCCTGTGATCTTATAGACCGTACTTGGTAAATGCAAACGTTGTTACAACAGTTTAATCATGATTACCATCACTTTTCCATCAATCGTTAGCTCTACCTCTCAGTACATACCCATCTAGCCGGGCACACGCAGTCAAGGTGCCCCAGCAGATGACAAGCGCCCCGCTGCCCGGATTGGTGCGGATCTCCGAAAGCCGTTGAGGAACCTTGAAGGCACCTGGTGAACTCATTTTCCCAACATATCGCCATAACAATGGATAGTATATTCAATTCTCATATGGAATACCTATCTGCACCCAGTAGTATAATCAGCCGAGTTGGTATATATATCTTCATCCCTCACATCGAAAATGCTCGACGCATGATCCCACATAGGTTGGCAAGTATAGACTCTCTCCCACTTCTCTGGCTCAAGTCAAACCAGGGAGTAGAACTAATGTATAACATGTGCCTTGGTGAAGTGCCCTCGAAATCGTAGAGATATTCATCCCCTATATCCATTTGAAGAAAGCAAAGGTAGTGCTGGGTAGCATTGATAACAATGACACTTTGAATATTGTTAGCTCCCGCGATATGTACTGTATATATGCATTGAGGCAGTATTAACAATATCTGAGTTATAGGTTTACCTTTGTTGTGAGAGAACATTGAGATAAGAGCATCTGGTTGCCAGGGCTTGACACATCATTTGTGCAAGGTTCCCGTCTGAGATGACAGGTCTACCGTTCTCTAGGCACTGAAAGTGCGGTTTGGCTTCCAGGACAGCGACATGGTTGTTTGTAAGCATGAAGCCACCATCTGGCTTCTGCTCTCGTAGACAAAGCCCGCCGTCATCAATTGCAATCATCTGACGTCCGCCAGTAGGTGTCTTGGGCGCAAGCCTTGTTTTTGCATCCCGAAACTCAACAACTGTCGCCTGCGATGTTGAGTCCTGAGGTGCAGCATAAGACAAGATATGCCGAATCACGCACGAGGCAAGGCGTAGCGTAGCGTCTTCGGGGGCTCTGGCCAGGGAATGCGTATCGTGGTCGACGTAGCCTAGAGATGACGGCTGAGACCCATGGTATGAGTCGGAGTGCAATGGACTACTAGAGCCAATCTAGATTCTAGTTGGGTCAACGAAGTAAGGCTGGGATGTAAGTTGCCTTTGACGCTTTGGCTCTCGTATCTCAGGATCTGTCCTGCTATCATCCGCTACATTTCTCTCATCAATAGGAGGAGATGGTTCTCTCAAGCGTCGGTCCATTGGCCCTTTGAAAGTCGCCATCGCTGCCCATATTTGAGCTACAGAAAGACTATATTTGGTACTCCGGACCAAGTAGTGCTCGCTTTGAGTCATGAGTGCCAAGTCAGGACCTTGCAGAAACGTCTTGATCTCACGAGACGGAGACTGTACATCAGTCAAGAAGGTATGAGGTTGTAGAACGGGGAGTACATTGTGTTGTTGCTCTCTCCGGACTACACGGCATGCAAGCAGATGCTTTCGATCCCAAAAACTCGCAGCTACCTCGTCTAGTCCTGAAAAGTTGTTTCCATTCTCATTTCGGAAACGAGCATTGAAGGCAGATTCCGATACAACACTGGTAAACTACGGAGTAAGTGCCATGATAACAATGTCTTGAATGTGAGATCTAGTGGAATTGATAGCGAGCACTTGAATCGATGTGGGTCGAGGAAGATTTGGGGGGCGGTGGGGGAAAAAAGAGGGGGCCAGGCCCGCGCAAGGTGTCGGTGCCTGACTTATGCCCCACGTGGCTCAGCTGGCTAGCGCGCGTCTAAACAGCTGTGGCAAGTGCTGTGGCGGACTCAGGCGGTCAGGCGGTCAGGCGGTCAAGCGCGTCAGAATTTCTTCCGTCACGCCCTTCGCGTCCACTTCTAAACATCCACCCCATCGTCATATCCCGCACTTGTCCGTCGTCAATGCCACCGTTCTTATGATGTCGGCCGCCCCTAGGCCAAGCTCACTTTCCGATCTTGTCGGATACTACACTTCTTACTTGGTCAATCCTCTACAGTGGACTTCACGCCATCTCGACCTAGTCAGCTGTCGCTTTGAAGATGTCGTCATCACCCCTTCCAGCAGTCCGCCAAACCACAGTCCCAACCAGAATTTGCACCGGACTTCTGACGCGAGAACCGATGCTGAGAAGCTCGCGATGACGTTGGACGCTATTACCAAGCGCTGCTCTCTTTTCAATATCTTGGTCATCGACACGCGCCTTTTCGCCGGACTCAGGTAAAAGAGCTCTGATGGAACGGAATACTGTTGATAGCGTTCACTGACACTCCTACTCGACAGCAAAGGCAGTCCGTTCTACTTCCAAGGTCGACGCGTGCGTCGTCTAGCAAACTATGTCATGTTCATCTACCACGAGAGAGCCATTGACCCCGCCGAAAACCGGACACCTACCCCTGTCGGTTATCTGCAGTACAACTCCGTTCATGGAGCACGTCGAAAGCTATTCGAAGCTCGTCCAGGTCCGAGGGGAGAGAGTAACCGGGTTGGTGGCACACTATGCTGGAAGCGCATACAACAGATAACCCCGGAAGAATGGACGGAGGACCCCTATTTCATGTGTCCCCTCTTGGCCCTCGCGCAGTTTGAGGAGCAGCGGCGAGATGAGTCAAACCCGGCTACTTTTACTGTATGTTCTCGGCTTGCTTGGTCTCTGAATCTCCGTTATCTTGGGCTTCAGGCTGATTAGTTACAGTCTCGTCTCCTCGTGACGGAAGTCGCAGATAAAGAAAAGATAGTCCTCTACGAGGCTGACATTGCAACGGAGCTTCTAGATGGGCTCAAGAATCCGAAGGAGGCAGATCGTCCAATGAACTAGCCCATCGTCAGACGCAAAAAGATACCATACCAGCCTTACAATACCTTCCCTGAAAGGATTACGGCAGAGCTCCAGACGCCTGGATTCTCGCCACTTGATGGAATCAGTTCGATACCTGACAGTTCGGTCCCAGACATGGATGGTAAGACTCGAAGAGGTCAGAAACGGCCGCACGGTGCAGAAGAGGATACACCATGCAAGCAGACACGGATCTCCGACACGTCATAGGTGAACCGACGTCAACACTAATAAAATGTCTGATAATCAGATAGTCACGTAATTAATGTATACTAGCCATAGCAGCTGCGAAATCGTCCGTAATTGTTCAAATAAACAAACGACCCAAGCAAAAATCGGATCTCTAACCATCAAACAACCGATATAGCGTGACCAGCTCGTACTATGATTCTCGCCCCGGGGCCTCGACCCCCCGATACCCTGGTGCATATAACTCGATTTTCCTCCCAAACGCCGGCCCCGCCTCTGGCCAGAAGACCCGCATCAGATTTGCTTCCCAAGCATTACCGAACACCCCTGCACCGCTGTCCAAGGAACCAACATCCCGACCCCTTGAGAAAAATCACCGTCCCATCTTTGCGATTTCAAGAAACAGTGAGCGCCATTGCAACTTCCTTGGATAGAGGCCTCCCGCCACGTGCTGAATTCGGGCTTACAACTACTGGCTTGGTACCAACAGCTCCATTTTCTGTTGCGTAGTTGACATCGTTACAGCAAGATGAGAAGTTCCACCCACCGCACTCGTTTCTCCCATCAAGGGTCTGGTAAGTCAGCACCAACCTTAAACTCTGTATGGGAGTACAACTTGATATTGAGCTTGGGGGCTAGCGGTGGAGCTGACTGGCTGGGACTAATAAATATAATTATAGCTTTTAATTTAGTTTATTTTTAGCCAGAGACTAGCTTTTATACTAAAAAAATCCGAATATTAAAAATAATATTAGAAGTAGTTTATATAATAGTTTCTATACTATATCTCTATATATTATTATAGAAGCGGTTAGAACTCTTTAATTAATTTATTATTTTAAAAAAAATTTTATATTAAAAAAGATTTTATTAATTAATAGAAACTAGCTTACTTATATTATATTATTACCTATCACTAGTCTATTATTTTAAGTTATAAATATTTTTTTAAAAAGCTGATTTATCTATTTAAAGAAGTTATTATTATAAATAACCAGTATCTAGTAATTTATATATTTATAAAATTAGGTTTTTTAGATTAAACTAGATTTCTTTTTATATTAATTTAAATTTTATAAGTATTTTTAATTTAAAATATTCAGCTTATATATTACAACTTTAGAATTTTATTTTTTATATTATCTATAATAAGTTGCTGTTAGTTGTATAGTTTTATTTTAATATAATTATTTTAGTAAACTATAGTAATTAGATTCTAATTATTTTATTAGAAGTTAATAAATTTATTATATCTATTTTTTAAATAAGCACGGATGCTTAGTTTTTTAGAAGATATTATTTAATAATTTAGTTATTTTATTATTTTTTTTACAGAGATTAAAAGTATTTATAATCTACTAAACTTTTTAGTAATATTATCTTTATTTAGTATAAGTTTTTAAAGACTATTATTTTTCTATTTTCTTATTTTAAAATATTATTAAAAGATTTAATATCTGTCTAGTTATTTCTGCTAACTAATAATAATATTTTATTATTTCTAATAATATTTTAATATTTTGATTTATAATTATAAATTTTATTTAGACTTTCTAATATAAAAAAATCGAATATCTAATTATTAAATAGATCTGATATTAAGTAAGCAGATTTAAAATCTTAAACTAGTTTTAATTTAATTATTTTTTTTAAATATTTTTGAAACTATTAAGTAGTTTTATTATACTTTTTTACAGCAGCAGTATTTTAAATAGTTATTTATTCTTTTTTTTAATTTATAATTTACTTTTTGTTTAATCTTTTTAAATATTATATTTAAAAATATATTAAATATAAATTTTTAGTATAAAAAAAAAGAACCCGATTATCTTTTTATATTTATATTAATTTTTTTTACTAAATTATAGAAGCTGATTTTTTGGCTGGAATTGCTTTTATAGCTTTAGTAAATAATTATAATTTTAAATTTATTAAACATAATAATAATTTAAGCTTCTAGTTTACTAGTATAATAATAACTATTAATAAACTGGTAGTAATCTTTATTAATAATAAAAATAGTAAAGAAGTTAATAAAAATTTTTATATTATATATATTAGGAATAGCTCGACCAGCATCGGCTAGTCTATATAATTTAACTAAAAAGTTTATTTTTAATATTTAATTTAAGTATCTGTTCTAACTATTTTTTTAGGGTTTTATTTAAGAATATATAAGCTAATTTTTAAATTTATTATTAATAAAATTTTTATAATTACTAGTTAATATAATATTAATAAATAGAATATTAAGAAAATTATTATTAGTAAGTTTTATATCTAGTTTAAAATAGCCGATAATTCTATAACTAAAATTTAAAAGTTATATAATATAATTTAAAAGATAGCGACCAGCTTAAAAATTAACTATTATTTTATTTTAGTAATAGTAATATAGAAGTCTAAGAATTATATATAAACTCTAATCTTAATATATAGTATTAGCAACCCCGGTTTAATATAAAACTATAAGAATACTGCAATCTATAATAATAGAAGTAGTATAAAAAACTTTTATTTTAAAATAAAAATTATATAAATAATTAAAAATAAAAATATAATTTTTTTATTAGAGATATTTTTTTAGATTATTCAGCTAATACTTCCTAATTATTAAAATTAATAATATTAATAAATATAATTTTATTTTATTACTTAATAAGTCTGCTTAGATTAATACCGCGGGCTTTTATTATATAGCTAGAATATATAATTTAGATATCTAATTTATTTTATTTTCTAATAATCTAAGTAGAACTGGAATAATAGCTTATTATATTTTTAATATTACTAATTAATTAATTAGATAAATAAATACTGCTACTAAATATACTAATTAAATATAAAATTTAAAATAAGATATAAAATCTGATATAATAAAAAATATTATATTTTAATTCATATATTAGTTTTATTATTTACTATTTTTATTACTTATTCTATTATAGTATTAGATATACTTATATATTTACTAGTTTTTTTAGATTTATAATATAATTTAATAAAATAGGCTATATAAACTATAAAAAATCTAAGTTAATAATATATATATAATTTTCTTACTTATAGTTTTTTAGTAGTATTTTATTTCTTTTAAGATAATCTAATACTAATATAATAATATAATATTTTAAACTCTTTCTTATGATTATTTAAATATTATTTTAAAATCTATAAAAAATAAGTATTTAATTTATTTTAATATATATATTAATTTATAATTTCTTTATTTCTACTAGCAGCTTTTTATATTATTCTAGTAGTTCTATTATACTTTTTTTTACTAATAATAATATTTTTAGTATTTTTTATCTATATTTATAATATTCTTTATTTATTTATTATTAGATTTATTTTTATAATCAAGCAGATTATAGTAACTTCAAACTTAAATTAAATAATATTAAAATTTATTAAAAAATAATATTAACAGCTCAGACTGCGGTTAAAGAGTTAAAAAAATTATTTAATATAATTAATATAATTCTTTTATATAATCTTTTAAGTTATTTATATAAAACTATCTATATTAAAATATTTACTAGATTTTTTAATTTTATATAGCTGTTTGTTATAGAAATAGTCCTAGCTAAATTTATAACTAAGCTAATATTTAAGCTGTTTTAGCTATTTATTTTATTACTAATGTTTATAGCTATTACTCGCGGAGTAGATATTGAAACTATTATATATAAAATTAAATAATTATATTTAATAAATTAAAAATAGATATATAGAAAAGCTTAATTAAAAAAAAGTATATATAATAATATTTTAAAAAATCTAAAACTAAGTATTAAACAGCTGCTTAAAAAATAGTAATTTATTTAGTAAATATTTAAAAATATATTTTTTAATATTATTTATATAGATTTTATAAAGAATTTTTAATTAATCTTTAAGATAGAAGTACAGATAGATAATAAGATAAAAATTAAAAAGAAATATATATATAATTTTTTAAGTAAATATAACTATTTAATAATAAGTTTTAAACAGGTTAACTTAGACTGTTAGACTATAATTATTTTTAAAAAATTTTAAAAAAAAATTATAATCTGTTTATTATATAACCGAAGATTTTAGTTGAAAAAGTATAATAGATAGTAGATTAATTAAAAAAAAAATATTAAAATATTAAAAAAATAGTAAGATATATTTTTTATTTAAATAGACTTTATATATTATATTTATAATATAAGATATTTTATTTATATTATTAATAAAATATTTTTTTAGAATATTATTTTTATCTAGCTAGTCTACAGCTAAAATAAAATCTTATAACTTAGATTTTATTAAATTTATTTTATTATATTTTTTTATAATCAAAGGATTTTTTAAGATATAAAAAAATTTAAAAAATTTTTAATATTTATTCTAAGAATAGTAGCTATATTCTTCGGTATTAATAAAATAATAGTATTCTGATAGCCTATATTTTATAGTATAAACTAATTGAAAAATTAAAAAATAGATTTTATTATTTTTTATATTATATAAAATATATTATAGGCTTTCTTAGAAACTATTCAAATATAGTTAGTTTTTTAGTTGTAGGATCAGCTTTTTAAAAATAGACTAGATTTTTTTTAAGTAACTTCGGTTTTTACTATATATTTAATAGTCTTAGACTAATATTTTAATAAAAAAATATAGTAGCAAGTTTCTTAGAAGCAGTTTTTCGGTTTTACCGTAATATTCGGAGGGCGGGAAAGCCGGAGCATGTTTTAGGGTTTACATTAGGGTTTACATTAGGGTTTACATTAGGGTTTA